ACCATGGACGTACAAAATAAAGGCCAATTTTAGGAATTTTTTTCCAAGCGTATACTAAAACCGGTCAAAATTTAATATAAAGTACATTATTAGTTAGGTTCGAAGGTACAAAAAAACGTTATTTTAAAAGTTTTTCACTACTAAAATGGCGGCTCCAGTATCCGGGTTAGTCGATGCAATTATGTCGAGCCCTCTAAACGGGCGAACCGGCAGATTTGAGTCTGGAACAAAAAACTAAATTTTTTCTTTAAATATATATCATAAACTAATAGACTACGTAGGGAAATTTAAAAATACCTTTTTTTCGAAAAATGGTGAGCATATGAAAAGAAAGTTCATTTTTCACATAAAAATTGCGTAATAAATGTTTTATAAACAAAAAGTTTATAACTTATCGCAAAATCCCTACGTAGTCTACTAGTTTATGATATATATTTAAAGAAAAAATTTAGTTTTTTATTCCAGACTCAAATCTGCCGCAGCAGCCGGTTCGCCCGTTTAGGGGGCTCGACAATCGCATCGCCGAACACTGGAGCCGCCATTTTGTAGTAAAAAACTTTTAAATAATGTTTTTTTGTACCTTAAAAGATAACTAATAATGTACTTCATATTAAATTTTGACGGTTTTAGTATACGCTTGGAAAAAGATTTCTAAAATTGGCCTTTATTTTGTACGTCCAAAGGTGGCCTTACCCCTTAAAGTTCCTTCACGCTCTAATTACTGTGATGGCTCTAATAGGCATTATTTTTCCTTTTTCATTTTTAAATAATATTGTACATTGTATATATTTTGAAAATGTTATGTAATAACATAGAATTTATCGAATACTAGCATTACAACATCGTATACACACGTTTGATTATTCTTTAGAGAAAGTGAAAACTAATATATGGTTATACTTTTTGTACGAAATACTATGTATACGAAGTGAATATAAAAAAAGTTACTCTATCTTTTAAAATATACAGTGAATATAAGAAAAAATTACTCTCTTTTTCAAAATATATAGTTCCAGTTTTACGTTGTTCTTAATTGTTTAGTATTTTCATACACAATTAACTTCGTAAAAAAGCAACAACAATTCATTTCAAAATATGCAAGTATCGATGTCATGCCTTTTTTGAAAGAATTGTAAAAATGTTTTAAAAATATTTATGCAAATACTTTTTAAGAATTACTCTATCATTTATTTTAGGTTAATATAATGTATTTATAATAGTTGAAAATCGTATATATAATTATTTTTTTAAAATAATATATTAGAATTATATAAAGTTTTTGTTATTATAATATATTTATGATATAATGTATGTTCAATAGTTAGAAAACATTAAAAATTGTTTATAATTTTTATTTTAAAACAATATTGGAAATTATATAAATTTTTTGTTATGTGCATATATACACAGAGTGTCCAGTAAATTGCCTGCAATACTTCGGAAGGTGATTCGGGACCCAAAAAGAAAGATAAAAGATTATACCTGTAAACATAGGTCCAGAAATAAATCATTTTCGAGTTATAATTAGTTTTATGTTAAAAAAATTGTAATTTATTTTTCTTAATCATAATTATAGTATCAATCATAATTTATAATACTAATCATAATTAGTCATAATAATTCTTTTTTTTTATTCACCATGTAGAGGCACAGTTAA